AATTAATTGCCTTTAAATGTTAATTCAGAACAGTTTCCCTGAGTGATCTTATATAGGCAAATCCTCAGTTGCCTTAAGCCACTTGCAGATTGTGTTCAACTAATAAGGTATTCTTAGTCCTGACCAGGAGCCTTGCACAGGACTGTAATCAGGAATGATTAATTGGAAATAGCTCTTCTAACCCAGGCTGTACCTGCTGTGCTCTCCTGTGCTGCCCAGCTCTGCCCAGAGCTGACACGGAGCTGCTGGAATCCATGGAAAAGGGAATTTCCTCCCCAAACCTCTCTGTGATGTGCTGCTTCCTCTGCCACAGAGCTCCCCCCCAGTGCTCCCCAGCCCAGGCTGGCGTGGAGGGTTTCCAGCACAACGTCTGCATTTGCCAACAGACTTCCCTGGGGAAGAATGGGGTGTGGGAGGTCACGGTGGGAATTTATTAGCTCAGCTCAGCCGTGGCCAAGTGCTGTGCCAGGCTTTGGGAGCTGGTGTATTGCATGTCCCAGCCTGGAGCAAACCCCTGCCTCCTGCTTGGGTGTGATGTCTCAAAGCTGCTGAGGCATCAGCAGCACCACTGGGAGTAAATTTGTGCAGTTTTGCCTAATTCAGAAAAAAAAAAAAAGTCATAGGATCATAGAATCCCAGAATTATTTGGGTTGGAAGGGGCCTTAGAGCTCATCCTGTTCCACCCCCTGCCATGGGCAGGGACACCTCCCACTGTCCCAGGCTGCTCCAAGCTCTGTCCAACCTGGGACACTTCCAGGGATGGGGCAGCCACAGCTTTTCTGGGCAGCCTGTGCCAGGGCTCAGCACCCCACGGTGGCACAGAGAACCCTGCTGCAGGCCAGACACAGCCTCGTGTGACAGTGGCCCCTGAGATGGCTCTGTCCTTGAGTCCCCTGTTCTGTGCTTCAGCTGAAATCATCCTGCAGTGTCTGTGTGCTTGTTACATGCCAGATTTGACCTCAGGCCAGTGAAATTTTTGGAGGTCTCCTCTTTCTGTGCTTTCAGCACACCCTCCTCTATTTTCCTGCTGCATTGTGTAAGCAGCCTTTGAGCGGTAATTCAGTGTACCTGCTGCAGCCAAAGGTGCCTGGGAGTTAGCACAGACAGATGAAATCCACGTTATTTGCCTCTGCTGGAGTGGTGGAGCCTGCTGTGGGAGAGTTTTACTTGCCTAAAGTCAAAGCTTGGGGAGCTTGCTCCTAAAGCAAGGCTTGAAATAATACCCAGCAAAGCCAGGGAGGAGACAGTTCACTGCTGGAAATCGCATTTCACTTGGTGTCAGCAATTCAGGAGAAAACCATCTGCAGGAAATTATGATGACAATTTCCTCTTGGAGTGTGGAGAAATTGCAGCTGTAATCGAGGAGGCAGCCAACAGCCTCCTCTCCCCTGACTTCTACCAATTACCCTGACAACTTTTAGGTCATTTCCCTGTATGGAGATGTCTGTACCCCACCCAGGAGGGACAGGCTGGAAGAAGTGATATTGTGCAGGGAGAGGAGTAGATGGTGCACATCTGAAATGAAAGCTTTTCTCAAAGAAACACAGAGCAAAACTCAAGCCAGTTGCAAAATGCTGCAGGTCTACAACTCTCAGTGTGTTTGTGATGGTTTGGGGCCAAAACTGGTCTTGCTGTTGAAAGCTGATTCATGCACATGTGAAGATAACATCCATCAGAGGAAAGAAACAAAAACCTGGCTAGAAAATGTGCTCATGGGACACCATTCACAAGCCAGGGCTTGGTGAGGTGACACCAGGAGGCCAAGGGATACCTCCAGGACTACAGGACATTTACATGGGCAAGATGGTGATAGGACAAGGGAAATGATTTTAAACTAAAAGAGGAGAGATTAGATTGGATGTTAGGAAGAAATTCTTTACTCAGAGGGTGTGGAGGCATTGCCACAGGCTGCCCACAGAAGCTGTGGCTGCCCCATCCCTGGAAGTGCCCAAAGCTGGGTTGGATGAGGCTTGGAGCAGCCTGGGACAGTGGAAGGTGTCCCTGCCCCTGGCAGGAGGTGGAACTGGATGAGATTTAAGATTCCCTCCAACCAAAGCCATCCTGGGTCTGTGATTTCAGCAAATGGAGGAAGCATGTGTCTGAATTCAGAACCTTTTCTCTCAGGTTTTAGCCATCAGTTTGTTGCCTGAGAAGATCTTTTCCCACCAGCAGCTGCCTTAGCAGTTGTCAGCATCTTCCTGCTTATCCCAGCACTGCTGCTGGAGCTGATGGGAGTTTGATTGTGACTTAATCCCGGCTTTTAGAGGAGGGAAAAAAGAAAATTCTGACAGTTCCATATATAGCCCTCTGACTCACCGATTTCATGTGTCAAACACTAAAGACGGGTTAAGTAGAATTAAGTTCTGGATTTATTATAAATAGGCATTAAGTAACATGAATGTATTGAATTTGCATGAAAATATGGGCCCAATTCCCCAGCTTACCCCAGAGATTTTGTTTGACGTCGATGGGATGCTCCCAGGTGGGAGCTCAGCTCAGAGCCAGCCCAGCTCTGACCATCCCCTGCAGCCCCTGTGAACTGCAGCCAGTGAAACAGGAAAATCATTGCTGGAATCAGGGAAAGTTTACACTGCTTGCACAGATCAGAATTCATCCCTTAATATAGTACAATGAGTTTTAATTAGCCCCCAGATCTGCTGCTGAAGGAATAATTTCTGCACGTCAATCAGTGCTAAATGTACTTGTTAAATCAGACAAGATTGGTTAAGTTGAAAATTGCACAGAAAGTCACTTTTCTTCTGTTTCTCCCAGAAGCTGGAGATTTTTTGGATTCAAATGTTGTGGACAATCTCGTCCTGATCCAAATACTCTTCTGCTGAAAGGTCCAGACAATGAAATCACCCTCACTGGGACCAAGTGTGACAGTCAGGCATTGTTTGGGTGAAAAAAGTCCTCTTTAGTCAAATCAGTGTTTCTGCAATGAGGGAGACAGACACAGACTCTACCAAATCAGAGCCCTCCTGAATAGTTTAATTTACTGACTTGTTCATTGCTAAACAATTGAGAATTGGTCCATGGAGAAGAGCACAAAAAGGACAGACAATATGGGCTGTATTTTGAGGCTGGAGTAGTCTAAGCCCAGGAAAAACAAGATTTTGAGTGGCGTTGTTTATGTAAAAAATAATGTTCACCCCTGCACCTCCACTTTTATTGGGAACTGGGGGTTTGGCCCTGTTTCTGCTGAGGGTGAGAAGAAGGGATGTGCCCTACAACACAGCCAGGGCCACTGGGACTGAGTGACAAGCTCACCCTGGAGAGGTTGTTGTTATTAGCCCACGGAGCTGTTGCTCATGCAGGAGCAGCATGAAAAGCTCTGGGAGCTTCCCCCAGCCCTGGTGGGATCCTCAGGCTCCGCTGCCTTCCCAGCAGGGCTCTGCCCTCAGCTGTGATTTCTCTTATCAAACACCACGTTCTGCTTTCTGCCATGAATATGATTTCCAATTAAATGCCTCCTCAGAGCCTGTCTGGCTGGGAATTAGCCTGGAACTTGGTGGCTGGGCTGTTAGCTCATCAAAGTCTCTGGGATGACGGGGAGGTGCTGATGCTCTGCTCGGGGATTTTGCTCGTGGCTTTGAACTCGCTGCAGCCCTGCAAACTGGGACAGGCTGCCCTTTGCTCACCTTCAGCTCTGCTCTACTCCCCTTCAGCCCACAGCTGAGTAAGCATCTCCAGGGCTGCAAAACACAGCCCCTGTGCTCCTGCCCTCCAGGGATCTCAGCAGTCCCTGGGAAGGAGCTGGCCATGCACTCTGGATTGCAGGGAAAGGATTATCACGGCTCTTATGACTCAATCCACAGCTCCTGTGTGCTTCCCTGCATGGGAAGGAGAGAAGTGGGCATGAAGCATCAATCTGCCCCCTAATCAGCCACCCAACAGGTCCCTGTCCCCAGGGTCTTTCCCCAGTTTGGCAGTGCCAGTTGCTGCTCTGGATGCCAGCAGCGGTGGCAGTGAGGTAGTGATGGTCTCTTTATGAATAAAACAGATAAAAAACAGGTTGGAAGGCAAAAATTCTGGATGTGGAGCTGGGATCAAATGGGGAGGGAGGAGCAGCCCTAATCCTGAAGCACTGCTGGGGATGGTGAGCCCCTGGCTGCTCCTGTTGGAGCAAAATCTTCGAATTCCAGGTTATGGCTCAATTCCAAATGAGGGTTTCTCCTTGCTGTGGACACGCAGCCAGGGAGATGCTGGAGCATGTGCTTCAGGGCTGGTTTTGGGGCACAGAAACCCCTTTGGTCCATGCAATGTGAGGTCCCAACAAGCCCTTGCTTGGTCCACCACGGGGCACCGTCCTCACTCCGTTGTGGTGGTGCTGCCTTGGCAACCATGGAACCTGGGGCAGTGCAGGGTGGGACTGGGACCAGTTCTCTTCTAGGTTCTCCCCTCTCCTGAGCTTCTTGCTGGAAATAGGAGTGGATCTTTGGCAAAACCTGGTTGCCACCGTGGTTCTGTCTCCTGGCTGGAGAGGAACCACGGTGCCCTGTGTGGGGCTGAGCAGTGTCAGGGACACAGGGACACCCAGGGGACTGCGGTGTGGTTGCTGGGGACCAGCTCTGGGGGTAAGGGCTGCAAGGTCCACTCCAGTGCCCTCGTGGCATCAGTGGGACAGGGGTGCTGCATCTCCAGGTGTTCTGCAGGCACAGGGTGGGGGGGACTGGCCTCGCTGGAATTTCTATGGAAACCCAGGTACGGAATGGGGTAGAATAGCTCAAACCATCTGTTCTTCCCCTACTTATAAAACTCGATAATTTCACGATGACATCACCAGAAATGCTCTCCTTTTATTCCTCTTGCAGCCATCTGTGATGGTTTCCTCATGTGCCAAGCACGCGAGCGGGTGCTGAGGGATGGGCAGGAGGACACAGCCACCCCATTACTCCTGTTTCATTTCTTCCCTTGGAAAGCAATCCTGTGCCTGCAGAGTTTCACTTGTTCCCTCCCCAAGGCGTCTACAGAGCAACCAGCAGAGTTAGACGGGGAAAATGAAGGTAAAACAGAAGGACAAACTAAAGCTGAGCTTCACGGGGACTGTGGAGGATCTGCTGTGGGGATTTTACCTGTGAAAATACAAATCAGCAGTGGGAGCCAGGTTTGCTCCTGCCAGAAGGGTGCTGGGTAGCAGTGGGGCTGCTTCTCCTGTGCCAGGAATGAGGCCCTGGACTGACATTTGGGTGTTGGGAGAGGCAGAGCTGGGGAATTGGAGTCAGCTGAGGACACGGGTGGTGGTGGGTCTAACTGCCTTCAGTGCTTGTCTGCTGGGCAGTTTCTCATCCAGAAGTCACCTTCTGATGGTCGGGGACAGGAGCAGTCCTGCTCCACTCCTGGGCAGCCAGCTGGGCTCATCCATGTCCCCAGAGCCAGTGGCTCTGGTTCTCTGGACTCACATGGTCCTTGCTGTTGTGCTGGGTGATAAAAGAGGTGACAACCTGCCATCACCTTCCTCTTCACTGGTGGAGGTCTCTCCCTGTCCTGGAATCGAGGTGCTGGCTCCGGCTCAGCCAGCACTGTGAGTTTTGGGTGGTGATGGGTCCCAGATGCCAGGGAAGAGCTGGAGCTGCTGCTGCTCAGCTGCTGCCACTGCCGGCTGTGTTTGCTCGACTGACCAAACCCTCCTTTGTCTGTGGCAGAGGAGAGAAGCCTCAGCAGACCTGGACCTCCCTGAAAAGGACAAGGAAATAAGGGCTAAGGTGGATATCAGGCAGCTGCAGACCCATTTCCATCATGAAGCATACAAGAGGAAATTCTTCGATGCCGATATCTGGCGGCAGATGCAGGCTCAGGAGTGAGTACAGCTCTGCCTGGGGAGTTCCTCCATGCCAAAGTCACAGATTTATAGAATCCCACAGGCAGGGACACCTTCCACTATCCCAGGCTGCTCCAAGCCCTGTCCAGCCTGGCCTTGGGCACCTCTAGGGACAGGGTAGCCACAACTTCTCTGGGCACTCTGTGCCAGGGCCTCAGCACTGAGTAAAGAATTTCTTCCTAACATCTGATCCCAATCTCTCTTCTTTTAGCTTAAATCCATTCCTACTTGTTCTATCATATCTGCCCATATGAAATGTTGCTCCCTCTCTTTTATAAAGAGATCTGGGGACCACAGAGCAGAGATGGGGAGGGGTAAGGACCTGCCCTGGCAGATGGGATGTGCTAAATGTCATTTGTTGTTCCATTTTCACAGAAAAGCAATAAATGATCTGAAGCAAGAACACAGACATGTGACATTAACTCTGAGCCAGATCTATTCACCGAGCAGCGTGTTGCTGGAAAACAGAAATCGTAGGAAGATCCAAAGCCTTTTGCAGACCAGAATGCAGAATGATGCCCTGATCAAAGACAGAAAAGCCCAGTTAGATGACCTGGCCAAGCAGGTGAGAACATCTGGACTGTTCTCTGCCTGAGCACAGCAGGCCAGAGTCACAGGGTGAGACCTGTGGCTGAAACTCCTCAGAGTAAAACACATTTAACTCAGGCCTTGGAATATTCCTCCTGGCAAGTGACACATGACAGTGACAAATAGAACCAGGCTCCCATTCAAGTCAGCAGCACTGACTGGAGAAGTGAGGTTGGACTCTCAACCTTGTCCCACTGGTCCCTGCACCCCTGTGTGGTGGCCTGGGGCCACAAACATCCCTCTCCTTCTCCCTTCACTTTTAAAATTCTCCTGAAAAAGAGGTAAAAGTGGAACAGTGCTGTCTGCGGGGTGGCAAACACAGGAACAGCAGCATCTGAGGGATGCCCCACCCCCTCTCCTGAGGACATCCTGGTTGGATTTGGGCAGGAGTGGGGTGGGAAGCCAAGGGAAAGGCGGGCTGTGGAAGTGACAGTTCCCTTCAGCACTGTTCTCAGAGCAGCTGCCCAAGCTGGACCCCAGGGAACACGCTGGGATAGTTTGCCATTGCTGGAGGTGCTGCAGAGCTTTCCCAGCAGGGCTGGCTTTGTCAGGGATGAGAACTCTGACTTGCCTGAGTCATCCCTCCCCCACCTGCCTCCTGCTCCGCTGTTCTCCAACTGCTTCACTCTTCCATGGATTTATTTCCTCTGGAAGCTCCCCACTTCTGGCAGAAGTTTTCCTCCACTCATTCCCAGGGAGGACTGCACAGGTCCCTGCCTGGCCAGCACAATTCCTCTACCAAAGCCCCATCCTCATTGCCTCTTCCACTCTACAAAGTGCTGCTGTGCTGTGTTCAGCACCTGCTGGAGCTCCCTGCAAAAACAGCTGCACTTCCTTCATGACACACACAAAAAACCCATTTCCAGCTACAGTTTATGTTTCTGCATGTGCAGGGTGGGATCCTTTGGGATAAAAGCTGTTCCTATAACGGAGAGCTCATTAATAACACGATTGCTGTAGTTCAGGTCAACAGAGGGGATTTTCTTTGGCTCTGTGTCCTGACAAAAGTCCAGAATGCAGGGGTGGAGATCATACTTCTGGGTTTTTTCCCTCTGTGTGTGTGTGTGCAGGTTGTAGAGCTGGAAAAAAAGATAGTGAAGCAAAGAGACACAAACTGGAGGGTGTTGGAAGCAAAGAGCTGCAAACACCTGCAGAAGAAGATTGAGTTACTGGAGATGCGTCTGAGTCATGTAAGGAAACATTTTGGAGACTTTTGGAGAGCCTGTGGGGGGTCACACAGGGGCCTGGGTCCTTTCTGGTCGGGACAAAGCACAGTGGTGCAAATGTGTTTGGTTGCCACAAGCTGCATGAAGCACCTGGCTTGTTCCCCGGGCCTGATCATTCCCAGAATGTCTCAAAGGCTCCTTCAGGCTTGGTGACCCAAATGCAGCCCCTGTGCTGTGCCAAGAGGCCTGGAGGTCTGCACCTGCTTTGTGATCAAACTGGGCTGCCTGGAGCCACCGTGCCTTGGACAAAGCCAGCTCCAGGTCTCTGTTGTGGTCAGCCTGGTCTTCTGTTGCCTTTCCTCTCCTGGGGAGAAGGACAGTGCAGGGCCAGCTTCAAATCTCTTGGGCTGTGTTTGACCCTGCCCTGGTCGAGGTCTTTAAGCAGCAACCTGAACCCTCCCAGTCCCCCACCAGGTCCAGAGCTTTTGCTTGGCTCTCCCCAGGTCACTGTCCGTTACAACACCATCATGACCAGGAACAACAGGCTCCGGGAGGAGACTGCCAGCCTGCAGACCCAGAAAACCTTTTATGACAACTGCTACTGGAAGCTGGAGAAAAGTCTGGCTCAGCAGAACAAATTGCTGGATGCTGCTGTTGAGCAAGCCACAGAAGATTACGAGCAGTGGTACGCGGCCTTGTCAGCCCTCTGGGCAGAACTTGGGGCTGAGGGTGATGCCAGTGATGAGGGCTCAAATAGAGAGCCCAGCTGAGGCTTCAGAGAGAGGATCCACCACTCCCATCCACGTCTGGGTGCTGAGGGCTGGGTGCCTGCTCAGTGTGGGGAGACTGGTACCTCCAGGGTGTTTAATTCCATCTGTCCTGGATGTTCCTTTGGCTGGGATGGGACTGGAACCATGGGACTGCCCCATGGAGGAGTCTATTTTCTCTGAGTCCCACCTGAGCTGGGTACAAAGGTACAAACCCCCACCAAAAGCTGTGTTAGTGGCCGTGAATTCCCTCTGTTTGTGTGCAGGATGGAGGATCTGGGGCGGATCTCGGACATCCGGGACGTGCGCTGCAGAGAAACCATCCAGTACAACATCAGGCTGCTGGAGAGGAAGTGTGCCCTGCACCAGGAGACCAGGCTGAAGAACTTCTTCCTCAGCAAATGTGCAGACCTCTCTGTGCTGAAGGAACAGGCCAAAGAGAGAGAAGGTATCAGAGGAGGATTTGTGGCACTGGGATCACAAACCTGAAGTCTGTGGAGATGATGAGGCTGGGCTGCTCGTGGTGGTTTGTAGAATTGCACCCCAAAGGCAGGATGCCTGCCCTGCCCACAGCCTCCCCCACCCAACCTTCACCCTGCCAGCAGAAAGGCTGAACAGTGATAATGGAGTGGGACTGAGTGTCTTGGGGTGCCCTTGGGACAGGGAGCTGCTCCTGTGTGCAGCCATGGCTCCTTTTACCACAGAACAGGTTGGGTTGGAAAGGAGTCCTGAAACTCATCCAGTTCCACACCCTCCATGGGCAGGGACAGCTTTCACTGTCCCAGGTTGCTCCAAGCCCTGTCCAGCCTGCCCTTGGACATTCCAGGGATGGAGCAGGCACAGCTTCTCTGGGCACCCTGAGCCATGGCCTCACCACCCTCACATTGCTAAAATCTAATCTAATCTGGTAATTCTGTCCTCCTGGGAGGGAATCCATGGTGTCTGCTCCATTCCCATGACATCCTTGCTTGGTTTCCTGGCGGAAGAGGCACCCTCTGCCCCTCCAGCACTGCTCCCTCCTGCCCCAGCCCTGCACCAAACGCCACAGCTCTGCAGGGAAGGCTCTGCAAAGGGCAACCACGGCTCTCTGTCTCTTTCTCAGCCTTTGAGGCAGCTGAGAGGGCCAAAAGGAGCCAAAAGGAGAGCTATGAGGTGGCCTACAAGCGTCTGCTGGAGCTGTCGGACGGAGACATTGATGATTTCTTGGAGGACTTCCTTGAAAAGGACAGGAGATTCTTCATCCTCTTCAGCTACGCCATCAGGCTGAACGTCAGGAACGAGGGTCTCAGGCAGAGGATCCAGGCGATCCAGGTCTGCTCCTGGCTCTTCTCCCTTTCCACGGAGTGATTTTGGGTCAGGGTGGGTTTGTCCTTTCCCGAGTGTCCGGCATCACTGCCCACACCCAGCCACACAGGGAGGACTGGGGGGATGCAGAGGAGCAGCCGAACCCGTAACTCGGCTGTGTTCTCGGAGCTAAACGTGTCTCGATGCTGCCACCGTGTACCCAGCAAAAATACTGCAGGGTCCCGGGGAGCCAGGAGCTCCCCGAACCCTGTGGGGCTGCCTGGAGGGGTCTCCATTTCCCTCGAGGTGTCCCCGTGATTTATAAAAAAAATACGGATATTGATCTAGAACCTGTGATTTATTAAAAACTATGGATATTGATCTAGAACCTGTGATTCATTTTTAAAAATATGGGTATTGGTCTAGTACCGATATCCAGCTGTGATGAACAAAGACTCTCTAACAGTTTAAAGTTAGGAAGTTTGTGTTTATTGCAATGCTGAGCAGCTCCCAAGTACACACTGTAATTCACAGGTGATTACAGAGCCCTTTTATCTATAGAAATATTGAATACCCACAATAAAAATACGTATTCATAACTTTGGTGCATCCCATTCCCCACTTTGTATGCTAATTAATTCAAAAGCTATTAAGCATGTTTGTTCCTTGAAATGGGTCAGGGTCCCTTTCATGGGGAGGGGTCCCAAAATGAGGAATTAAATGGAGTCTTCCTCGTTCTGACCTTTCTACCTTTTCAATGCAAATGTGACAAATGAACCCTTGGTAGAACTCCCATTCCCTGTCTTTAAGTGGTTTCAGAACAGAGGAGGCCCACAATTGTCTCATGGTCCTAAAAGCTTTTTGTTAGTTTCTGTATTCTTCTTTATAAACCCAGCTAACCAAACATTGTGCTGACGAACAATCAATTATTAAACTACTAACTCTTAGGTTCATCAAGGCCTACCTATTTATTTTAATTAACTCCAATAAAGCTTATCTCTGACTAAAATCTTAGCTCCTGTAAAATTTCGGAATTCCTCAAAGTTTGTGTTTCAGCTGCTCCCTGGGCTGTCCCCGCGGGGTCAGTGGGGTTCCATGGGCAGCCACTCCACGCGCTGCTGTTCCCACAGGATGACATGAATGCCATCAGAACGGAGCGGGAGCAGGCGGAGACAAGCTGCACCCACATCGTGCAGGAGCTGGAGGTAGGGTGGCCGTGGATTCCCTCTGGAAAGGCAGCACGTCCCTGTCTGTGCCAGCACTCGCTCCAGGGAGTCTGGTCCTGCAAATGCTGCTCTGGCTGCAGAGCTGTGGGCAGAAAGGGCCCTGCAAAGGTTTTGGCAGCTCCCAGGGCGTGGTGAGAGGGTGGCTGTGGGGCTGCTGCCAGCCCTGGGCCAGCATGGACAGCTGGGGGGCTTCAAGAAGTGTCTGCACACAGTCCTGTGCCCTGTGCTCTGGGATCACCCTGCTCGGGTAGAGGTTGGACCAGACCACCCTTTGTGGTCCCTTCCAACCTGACCCGTCCTGGGATTCTGTCTCCAGGCTGAAACTGGGCAGCACTGGGGTGGTGGGGCCAGCGAGGGGCCGGTGTGACACCTTTGTGACACAAAAACCTTTGCTGGTAGGCCAAAATAGCAGAGACCACCGAGGAGGCCAACAAGTATGAGAACAAATGCAAGGAGAGCAGCGAGCTCCTGGGACAGATCCAATCTCGCGTGGAGACCCTCTTGAAGAACATGGACTGTGACACTACAAAGATGGTGAAGCCTCTTGGGGACAGCTTGGTGCCAGTTTTTGGTAGGTCAGGGCTGCACACCTTCCCATACCACATGCCCTGGGAAATACTGTCCACCAGCTGCTTGCACTGTGTTTAAATTGAGCTTTTGTTTTCCCCTGTCCCATAAGCCATGTGTGCCCTAAAGTGAATTTGCAATGCCAAATTCCCAGTAAATTTGGGAGCTAATTTGGATTTTTAACATCCCAGTGGATCCCCAAACCCTCAGTGTGGCTCTGGGTGCTGAAGTGCAATGGGGGTCAGCCTCTCCTCCCAGGCAGCCAGCAAGAGGACAAGGGGAATTGCACTAGGGAAGGTTCAGGTTGGATATCAGGAAAAATTTCTTCACAGAAATAGTGGTCAAGCATTGGAACAGGCTTCCCAGGGAAGTGCTAAAGTCACCACCCTCAAAGTGTTCAAAAAACAAAGGGGATGTGGCACTTTGTGGTATGCTTTAACAGGCAGGGAATATTCAGCATGAAGTCAGACTTGATGATTTTGGGGGTCTGTTCCAACATTAATGACTCTGTGATTCTATGATACCATGACCCAGCCTTGGCCCCCTGACCCTGGGGGAGGGAAGCCAGTGGACCCCCTGCTCTGCAGGCAGCCAGGGGTGGGTTTGGGCAGGGTCCTGCTGCAGGGACACTCGGGACACTGTGGCTCCTCCCCACGCAGGTCCCGTGGAGGACAAGATCAAGGAGTTCCTGCTGAGGGAGTCCTTGCTGCGCTACACGTCCGTCGATCGCACCCAGCGCTCCCAGGCCTTTGTCAGCCCCCTCCAGGGAGCCTCCAAGCTCCTCTGGACCATGGACAGGTCCAAGCTCTGCCCACCTCCCCCAGACCTGGAGGAGACCGCTGAGCCCAAAACCGGTGAGCAGGGAGAGGGGAGAGTGAGGGGCCATGGCCGGGCAGGCGCTGCTCCCCAATCCCCCGTGGCTGCCACACGTCCTTCCCAGTCCATCCCCTCCACCCTGTCCTGCCCCACCGGGGTGTATGACACCTGTAGAACTGTGTATTATGGGATGGCTGTTCTCTTGGGCAGCGGAAGAGCCGCTGGGCCGGGATCAGCTGCGTGAGCTCGTTATCCAGAGGCAGCAGGAGGAGCTGAGCAGGCCCCCCAGCTCAGGCAGGAGGAGGAGGAGATTCACATCACCAGGGGTCAGGAGCCCCTCAGGGACCAGGAGCCCCTCAGGGACCAGGAGCCCACCAGGGACCAAGAGCCCACCAGGGAATTAAAGAAGCTGTTTCATTCTTGAGCTTCTGCATTCTGCACATCATTCCATCTTCCTTCTCTGGAAGGAGCCCAACACCTTGCACAGGCTTCAGAACCTCACCAGGTGATATTTTGGCATGGCCTCACCCACTGCTGACAGCACCCACAGCCGGGGTGGGATCAGCTGCTCTAGCAGAGGGTGACATCCCTGTCACACGAGCCAAGGCTCTCCCCACAGGCAGAGGTGCCAATCCTGCTCCGTGCCCGAGGGCAGGGGGGATGCAGGGGATGAGTGTGCTCATGGGGCCTTCCCTGCTAAGCTGGCAGAAGCTGACAACTCCCTGCTGCCTAAAGGAAAATTGAGCTCAGTGCTGGCCCTGGGCTGTGGGATGACAGGGGATGGGCACAGCCCAGTGAGGAACTGGTTTGGGGCTGGGAGTGGGAGACTGGAGGACACATGAGGGTGACGTGCAGACTCCCCACAGGCAGAGATGGGGACCATGGTACCAATCCTGCTCCGTGCCCGAGGGCAGGGGGGATGCAGGGGATGAGTGTGCTCATGGGGCCTTCCCTGCTAAGCTGGCAGAAGCTGACAACTCCCTGCTGCCTAAAGGAAAATTGAGCTCAGTGCTGGCCCTGGGCTGTGGGATGACAGGGGATGGGCACAGCCCAGTGAGGAACTGGTTTGGGGCTGGGAGTGGGAGACTGGAGGACACATGAGGGTGACGTGCAGTAGGTCTGAGGTGCTGAGGCCAGCAGGGTCTGGAAGGATCTGAGGGTTCCCATGGGGCACACCACACAAGCCCAAGCACTGCTCACACCAGCAGCTGGGTTTCCTCTTGCCAAAAGGCCTTTTAATGTGAATGCCATTCCCGTGCCAAATTCCCAGGCACGTGCCTCTCCAGGGGAAGAGGAAAGGGAACCCCGTGTGACCTAGGGAGAGGTGATCTTGCAGTGCCAGCCCCAGCCCTGAGCCTGGGCTAGTCCTTCTCTTCACCATGAGTAATGACATGGACCAGGTTCTTGTAGTCCAGGTTGCCAGACATGTCCGGAGGGAAGGCAGCGAACATCTGATCGATCTGCCAGGGAAGAGCAGCGAGAAAAGGTGGCATGGGAGGGGTTTGGGACCGGGCTGGGAGGAGGGATGGGGTCTGTTGGGATGGAGGGAGGCTGGCAGAAGGTGGGGAAGTGATCATACCTCCTCCTGGGAAAACCTCTCCCCCTGTGTCATCAGCATTTCTTTGATGCTGCAAACGAGAGAGCGCGGTGAGCACTGGGCAGGTCCTCATGGGGACACCCCACCACTCCCTGCCCCAGCTACCCCTGCACTCACTAGGCAGATTTCAGGCCTTTCCCCTCTGGATCAAACACCTTGAATGCATTCAGGATCGTCTCCTCTGGGTCAGCACCTGTAGGTGACAAAGCCGTGGTCTGAGATTTGATTCCCATTGGAGATGGTAAAGTAAGAAACCAACTGCAACCTCCTGCTTCTCCCAGCCTCGGGGGCAAAACGGGGGGCAGACTGAAAAGTGGGACCCCTGCAGGAATGCTGACCTGCAGCTGGAGGCTCGAGTGAAGCTGGTGGGGTGTGGGGAGCAGCCGTGGTGTGAGCACAGAGCAGGCGGTGCCGCCGCTCTGGCACCCGGCGTTTATCTAATCTTTGGAGCATATTTATAGAGCTCCAGGCACAGCCCCTGGGGCCCTGCAGCCTCTTGGAGATCGGCAGGAGGCTGCATTCCTCGGGTTAAGTACGTGATTCAGGGTACAGCCAGATGGGATGATGGGTCAAAGTCTGGCTGTAGGCAGGGGGGGCCAATTTTGGCGCTGCTGCTGTCAGCAGGCTCAGAGGTGCTGCAAGAACTGTCCCCTCTTCCTATGGGACAGCAGCAGCAGCAGCACAGCCATTTGGGTTTTGTGAATGGCTGGGGAAACTGAGGCACGGAGACCATCTCATACCCCCCAACAGTTTGGGGAGACGTGGGATAAGATCTCTGGACCTAGGGATGGTTGGTATTGCAAATCTATTTTGGGGCATAGGAACGGCACTGAGCATTCCCAGCTCCCCAGGTGCCCTCTCACCCTTGAGCTTCTCCCCAAACATGGTGAGGAACACGGTGAAGTTGATGGGGCCCGGTGCCTCCTTTATCATCTCATCGATCTCCTCGTTCTTCACGTTCAGGCGCCCTGGGGAGAGCAGCTATGGGTCAGCCATGGATCCAGGTCCTGCTCTGCGTGTTGGGGGTTAAAAATACACACCACAGAACCCTTCCCTGGGGGACTTTCCCCCACTGGAGGGAAATAGCACATTCCTGGGAGCCACCTCTGACCAGGAATGGAGGTAGCAGCAGTGAGGTGAGAGAATCATCTCCAGCTCTGGCTTCTCAGGCTCCAAGATCACAGAAAAGAGGGATGAAAGGACTCAACTGTGCTGCTTCCTTGCCTCACTACCCCTTTGAAGCCCCCTTGGAATATGTTTTGGGTCAAGACCACCAGCACTGGGGCTCTCCCTGTTCCCCAGCACCAAAACCAAACAGGATTGAACACCTACATCATTTTTCCCGAGGCTGGGTTGTCCTTGGAACTCATTGCTGATTCATGCTGACCTCTGATGGCAGAGCCAAGCTGGCAGTGTCACAGCCTCCCACAAATCCCCCAAATCCCCTGAATGCCCACATACCCCGGGATGCCGTGGGATGGGCACAGCCAGGTGCTCCTAGGCACGGAAAAGGCAGGGAGTGTTTGGCTGTGTAATCCAGGAGCTGGCTCCAGTGCCAAGGGGATCAACCAGAGCTGCTCTGGGATCACCCGCGAGGGATGTCCCAGCTGACAGGCTTGGGTTTGGATCAGAAGGTTTTTGGCAAAATGGGAGGTCTGGTGGATGACAGGGGCTTGGTTAAACGCCCCACCCCTCCTTGTTTCTCAATTAACAGTCTGATGTTGGCAAAGCTGGGGAGGGGAGGCTGCTAAAGCTGGGCTCACCAAGGGCAGCAAAGGTGTCTCTCAGATCTGCCTTGTCGATGAAGCCGTCCCGGTTCTGATCCATGATGGTGAACGCCTGCAAGCACAGGAGCAGGGCAGGGAGCACAGGGAAAGGGAGAATTGCCAGCCTTTGCAAAGGCTTCAGAACCTTTCTCCTTCTCCCTTCAGCTTGGATGGGATAAAGGCATTTTGAGCCCTCCCGGGAAGGGCTCTGTGGGTCTCACTCACCCTAATCCCACACATTGTCACTGAGTTGTTATTCTCACTTTTAAAATAAAACCACCCAAACCAGGCCTGCTGCCTCCTGGTGTGAGCCAGCTGTCACTTGAGAGCACCAAGGAAAGAGCTGAAGGTCACATCACGTCAAGGACCCTCGGGCCTTCCCACCAAAGCCACCTACCTCTTTGAATTCCTGGATCTGCGCCTGCTCAAACATGGAGAAAACATTGGAATTGGCGCCTTCAATCCTCTTCTTGGCTTTCTTGGGTGCCTGCAGGAGTCCAGGTATGTATCACTAGCTCATTGGCTTTTTGTGGGGTGAAATAAAAGCGTGGAAGTGCCCTGTTCTTACTCATGACTCCTTGGTGGGAGCTCTGGGCTGGGGCTCTCTTCCCTGGGATCTTGGTAGTTTCTCCCTGCAGCTCTGGGATGCTGAGGGGCATTCAGATTCCTGCTTAAATTTCAGCTCCTGGTGAATTTAGCCAAATAGGTCCAAGGAAAGATGAGGAGTGAAATCACTTCTCCCACTGGCAGGTAAAAGGGTCAGCTCTGGGGTGAGATATCCCCGCTGGAGCCCTGGTTTTGGGAGCACTGCTGAGGTTGCACATGAGGGCTGTGGCCAGTCAGTGCTTCTCTACCCTGCTGTGCAGATATTAAAGTATGGCTTAATTAAAAATCTGCCTCCTCCTGCACTGAGGCTTGAACCAAGCAGAAATGGGTCAATGTGTGTTTTAAAGAGGACTGAAGGGCCCCTCGCTGTCCCACCCAGCCCATTATCCCTCATCCCAGCACCTCTCCTGCAGCCGTTTCCTCTCATGGGGGTCTGTCAGGAGCAGGATTTTGGGGGCACAAAATGACCCTTCCTCTCACTGCATCAAGGAAGGGGAAAGGAAAAAAAATGGCATTTGGACCCTAAAATCATCTGCACTCATTTGAAAGCTGTGCTGGCATGGGAGACACCTCTCTGCTCCCTGTGAGGTGCTGCTGATCCACCCGGGTGCTCCCCAGTTTCCTCACCCCCTTTCCAAGGCAGACAAAACCCTCGGCCCTCAACTCCTTGTTGCCTCCTTTGCTCCCTGACCATTAAAACTATTCTGGTGAAACATCAAATTAATTTTATCTCTTCCTGCTGGAGCTTTGGGCTCTCAGTACTCACCATGGCTTCTCTCAGCTGCCGATGTCACTGCGAGGGGTGTCCCAGAGGCACTCCCTCACTCCCCCCGGCTGGAACAATAAATACACCCCCCTCGGGGCTAAAAATAGCCCCATGCCCACTTTTGGCTGTAATAGGTAATTTGGCCGCCCCCAACCCTGTTGTCTCTGCCTTTCCCTGCCCCTCTCTCTCTAATCTGGAATAGCAGCTTGTTGTTGTCACCGGCTGACGTGACATGTGAGCCCGGGAGGGTTTCAAGGTTAACGAAGTGCCGGGCGGCCCCAGCTCCCACACCGGGGATGCTGACCCGGGACTGCTCGGGGACAATCCCACCTGCCTTTGTCACTCGGGCTGGCGCCGGGCTTGTCCCCTGCGCTGGGACACGCGGGGAGGGGTCGGCCCCAGGGGACCCCCCGCTAGAGCCCCCCAAGCCTCGGGACGTGGATGTTTCTCCTCGGTGCTTCCAGGCGGTTTTGGGAGCCCCATCGCAGCGTTGGCACAGCCGGGAGCTGCTCGGCTCCGGCCCCCCGGCCTTGGATCGCCTCCCTTGGGATGCTCCAGGAACAGGAGCAGCTGCCTGGTCACCCAGCCTGTGGCCGAGAGGGGACATTGCGCTGCAGCTCCATCCCGCATCCCCATCCCGCATTCCCATCCCACATCCCCATCCCGCATCCCCATCCCGCAGCCCGCGGCGGGGCCGGAGGCGGATGCCGAGCTGCCCCAGAGCCGGGCAGGCACGAAGAGCTCCTCTGTCATGTGTCACCCCCACTGAGGCACCTGTCACCCACTTAAGCCGAGCATTCCCTCGCCCTGGTCCCGGTGGGACACACACATTTAACTCTCCCGATTCCGGGCTCTGTCCGGGGGACACATCCTGCGGGGGTGACGCTCGCACTGCCCGGGCTCTGGCTCAGCATTCCTGCAGAAAGAGCCAAGGAACCCACGGGCAGCAATCCCACAAAACCTCTCCCATGTGCTTGTGGAGCAGGGCTCGCGGCTGCCGGGACCGGGC